AAAAGAGTGTGGTCCTTCAAACTCGAAATACCTTCATTTTAGAAGAACGTTTGGTCCAATGCAAATAATTCTGGATATCTCTTCATTATGTCCTCTTCGGTTTCCCAAGTCACATATGTCCCTCCATGATTTTTCCAATCAACCTTTACTAATGGAATTTCTTTATTCTCAATCTTTTGATTCGGCGGTTTACAATCTAGATTTGCCGTTCTTCATAAGTAAAATCGTCTTTCAGTAGCACGTGCATCGGTTCAATCACATGTAATGGATCTCTCAAATAATCCTGGAGCATTGAAATATGAAAGACATTATGCATTTGTTTCATGATCGGAGGCAAGGGTACTCGATATGTTGCTGAATTGATTTTCTCTTGAATCTCAAGCGAACCAATGTATCTCGGAGCCAACTTTCCTTTCACTCCAAATCGTGTTTGCCCTTTCATAGGAGTTACTTTGATAAACACATGATCCCCAACTTCATATTCTCTATCTCTTCTTCAGACATCCGCATAACTCTTTCGGCGACTTTGTGCAGTTTTCAATCTTTGTTGAATCAGTTTTACGTTTTCAGTCATTTCTTGCACAAGTTATAGTCCCAACAAAGGTCTATCACTGATCTCGGCCCAACAGATCAGAGAATGACACTTTCTACCATACAAGGCTTCATAAGGAGCCATACCGATACTTGAATTATAATTGTTATTGTATACAAACTTGGCTAATGGCAGCTAAGCTTCCCACTTTCCTTGGAAATCCAATACACACATTTTGAGCATATCTTCTAAGGTCTGTACTGTTCTTTCCGACTAGCCATCCATTTATGGGTGGTAAGCATTACTCAACCTCAGTTTGGTTCCTAGGGCCTGTTACAAACTTTGCCAGAATATTGAAGTTAACTTAGGATCTCTGTCAAATACAATAGATGATAGCACATCGTGTAATCACACAATCTCATTCACACAAATGTTAGCCAATTTATCCGCCTTATAAAAAATTTTGACAGGTAAGAAATGTACAGATTTAGTTAAACGATCAATAATTACCCAATTAGAGTCCATACCTCTAGAAGAACGAGATAGACAGACAATGAAGTCCATCGTAATATGCTCCCATTTCCATTCTGGGATTGGAAGCAGCTGAAGTAATCCAGCAGGTCATTGATGTTCGACTTGTACTTGTTGGCAGTACAAACACTTAGGTACAAAATCAGCGATTCTTTTCTTCATTCTAGGCTACCATAAATTTTGTTTCAAATCATGGTACATTTTTGTGTTCCCTGGATGCATAGCAAATTTCGAGTTATGAGCTTCAATCATAATGCGCTTTCTCAATTCTGAACAATTTGGTACACAAAGTCTTCCTTGAAATTTCAGGACATTATTTTCGGATACAAATCTGCGCCTCAATTTTGAATCAATTTTATAGACAATCTTCTTCAAAAAATCATGTTGTAGTTACTTTTCTTTAGCCTCCTTTATGATTAGTTGGTTATGCGGAAATGATAGCTAGAACTCCACCGTGTTCACGTAAAACAACTTCAATTTCGTTTCTTTCCAGATCACATAACAATTCTCTTTGGCTAGTGTGCAAACATGACAAATTTCCAATAGACTTTCAGCTCAAAGTATCTGCAATTGTATTTGCTTTTCCTGGATGGTACAAAATCTACAAATCATAATCTTTAATCAACTCTAACCATCTTCTCTATCTCATGTTCAGTTCTTTTTGGGTTAAGAAATATTTTAGACTTTTGTGGTTTGTATACACCTCGCAAGTCACTCCATATAGATGATGGAGCCAAATTTTCAAAGCAAAAACCATAGTTGCGAGTTCAAGGTCATGGGTCGGATAATTCTTCTCATGTGGTCGAAGTTAGCGAGAAGCATAAGCAATCACTTACCATTTTGCATTAGTACACACCCCAAACCTTTGTATAAAGCATCACTGTAAATTTGAAATTCGTCAATACCATTGGGCAAAGTCAAAATCGGTGCAGTTACTAACCTAGTCTTTAATTCTTGAAAGGCTGACTCCCGTTGATCATGCCAATCAAATGATACATTTTTCTGTGTCAACTGTGTCAATGGCGTGGCAAGTTTGGAGAAATCTTTTACAAATTTTCTGTAATAGCTAGCAAGTCCTAGAAAACTCCGAACTTCAGTCATCGTAGCTGGTCTTGGCCAGTTCACAATGGCTTCAATCTTCTGCGGGTCCACTGATATGCCATCTTCATTAATTACATGTCCCATAAAAGTTACACTGTCAAACCAAAATTCACATTTGGAGAGTTTCGCATACAATTTCCTTTCTCTCAGTATCTGTATCACAGTTCTCAAATGATTTTCGTGATCTTCCCTGCTTTTGGAGTAAATCAAAATATCATCAATAAATACAACAACAAATTTATCTAGATATGGTTTAAACACCCTATTCATTAGGTCCATGAAGGCAGCAGGTGTGTTCGTTACTCCAAATGGCATTACTAGGAATTCATAATGACCGTATCTAGTTCGAAAGACAGTTTTCTCTACATCTTTTGTCTTAACCTTCAACTGATGGTACCCAGATCTAAGATCTATCTTTGAAAACACTTGGGCTCCCTGGAGTTGGTCAAACAAATCATCTATTCAGGGTAATAGATATTTATTCTTGACAGTTACTATGTTCAATTCTCGGTAATCTATACATAACCTCAAGGACCCATCTTTCTTTTTAACAAATAGAACTAGAGCACCCCATGGTGAAGTACTCGATCGGATAAACTTCTTATCTAGTAGTTCTTGAAGTTGGACTTTCAGTTCTTTTAATTCAAAGGTTGACATTCTATATGGAGTTTTGGAAATTGATTGTGTTCCAGACACTACATCAATGGTAAATTCAATTTCTCTATCAATCAAATCACCGGGTAGTTCACTTGGAAACACATCAGGGAATTCATTAACTATAGGAATAGCTTCCACATTAGTGCTATCAGAGGTCATATTTAAAACACTGCACAAATAACCCCAACATCCATTTCTAAGCAATTTGACGGCTTTCAAGGCAGAAATCATATACGAAGGTGGAACTATCCCATTCCCAGCAAACACAAATTTAGATAAATTTTGTAAGGTGTGTGAACAAAATTTCACTCGCTATCTTTTCGAAAGAACCAGGAAGTATGCAAAGAATCCAAAGAACAGCCACAACAATTCACCAACAATTAACGACACTATGTGATCCAAGCAAAACAAAAGCATGACAAAGTTTAAATTAAACAAAAATTAACATAATTATTGCCAAAAAAAATAGATAAAAAAAATTAGGACACTAAAATTACATTTAAAGCACAACTCAAAATTAAACAAAGTCTTCAAATCAAAAAAAGAGCAATGAATTCAATAATATATAAAGAAATAATAATAGTAAATAAACAATGAATATTAAAAAGTAATTAGAGCACAAAAAATAAATTTAGGGCCGTGAGAGAGAACACACCGTTGGTGATACAATGCCGCACCATTACTTCGTCGCCAATAGAATTGAACTCGCCGCCTGTTCTTTTTGCTTCTCAGTTGTGTCAGTTCTGTTTGTAATTACAAACTTCACCCATTATATTTTATAATTAAATTTGTACCTCTAAATTTTTTTGGGCCTTTTCTGTTGTGTGTGGAAACTAAAGAATATTGGGTTGGACTTCAATTTTAGGCTACTAATATTACATAGGTGATTCTATTTATACTCAAATATTAACTCAGTATGTTCAACTAGAGAAATTCTAGTTCGACACAACTAATTATCTCAATCCACATCATTTCTCAATACGCACACTTTGTAATTTAATTATTAATTAGTTTTCTCAATCCACACATTGAATGTATCAATTATATCCTTCACTCATATCATTGTACAAACACCCCCTCAAACCTCTTCCACACACTTGTTCCTTCTTCCACATACTACTACTGCTACGATTTGGAATTTTGTAGCCTGCGGTTTGGAAATTTGTTGTCAAAGTGAAGACCCATTGAAGAACACAGTCAAAGAGAAGACCTACATTGAAGAACCAAAGTCCTCTATTGAAGACCTCCAATGACAACACCATTAAAGAGACTCCATTGCATTGTTGAAGGTAAGGCATCATTCCATTTTGTTATTGCATTTACCATTTCCAGATATTTATGTACTCGATTTCCATAAAACCCTCGATTTTTCTTCCAACTTTTGCCATTTTGAGCGTTCAGCCCTAGTTTTCCGAGATTATGTATTTATTTCAAAAATTTTCTTCGAAATAATATTTACTAAATCGACAGGTTAGTTTCAAATAAAGAAAAAGTAGCAATGGTTGAATACCGAATTTAACAAATTATTTTGGTTCTGTAGTTTCGAATTTTGTTAATTTATTTGACAGTAGAGTTCCAAATTATGTATTTTGTTTCAACACCACAATTTCGAACGATATATATATATATATATATATATTTAGACCAAGTTACACACCATGATTGGATGGACCTTAGGTTCTTTTATGTTTAAAGGATCACAGGATTGGAGTGTTGTTGAGAGTTTGATTTTGGGAATGGAGTTGAAGCAAATCTATGGTGGTGCACTGACATGAAAGCCAGTATTAGTCACTGAAATTCATGTTATCATTTTATTCTTTTAGGTCTTTCTTTCGCCTTTTGGTTCCTCTTTTCCAACAATTTTATTTTATAGTACTAGTGATATTTGAACTCAAATTTCATGTAACTAGAGTACACACCCTAGTCTAACCATTAATGTCATTGCTCTATTGGTTGATGACTACAATTTGATTGTTTCATTGTATTTTTATTAGAGTGTTTTCACCATAAATGCTATACTGAGTTGATGAGAACAATTTTCCTTATGCAGATGGATGCCGGTCCCAGTCAACTTCAGTCAGTAACAGCTTTGAATAGATGACTCAATGAATTAGAAAATGTTTCACGTGGATGTGGACATGGACGTGCTCGAGTGCATGATGATGACGTACACATTGCCATGAATGATGATCCTATACACGATGCACCAGTTATGGATGATATTGCTATGGATGATGACCCTACTGGTGGAAATATTGACATTGTTGATGAAGATATTCTTACTCAGCCATTTTTGGGAGAGCCAACTGATCCATCAATCCTTAAACGTTTTAAAAGTCACGTTGCCATAGCTATTTGGAATGTGTTGATGAAAGGGGGCCCTTTTAAGTGTCATAATCACTTGTCTAAGTTTCGTTCATGGCCGTGGTGGGAACAAGGCAACAATGCTACATTTGTAAACATTGTGGAGTTGTTAGGACTTGCACACTTAGCTTGTTGCAAGTGCCGCTTTGTCAACAAAATTGTTGTGCCCAGTTTTGTTGAGAGATGGCAACCGGAGACAAACACATTTCATTTGACTATTGGAGAGATGACTATCACATTGGACGATGTTGCCACTATCCTAGGACTTCCAATTGTAGGCAAATCTATTAGCAAGCGTAAGTTGTCAGAAAGACAGGTCATTGCACTAGTAGTTAATACCTTGGGAATTGATAAGCAAGAGGTCAGACATGAGATGTCTAGTGTTGGTGGCAATTCAGTGAGGCTTGAGTGGTTGAGGGCACACTTTCATAATGTTACAGACGATGATTCAATGGAAAGAATTGCATGTGCAGGTAAAGCATACTTGTTTTTTTGTTGGCTTGCACAGTTTTCAGTGACAAGATCGATACTAGGGCCCCTTTGTTTATTTGAGTTTGTTGTCCGATTTAACAATCATACCTTCATGTGCTTGGGATGTTGCTGCATTGGCATACTTATATAGACAGTTGTGGTACGCTAGCAGGTCCGGTGTGAAACAAATAGCCGGTGACATGATACTCCTTGAACGATGGACTTATGAGCAATTTTGTAGATTTCGACCACACCCAAATATGAATTACACTCAAGACATGCCACATGTTTATCGTTGGACTTCTCAGAGCGAGTCTGGTGAAGAGACACAGTTGTAGGCTTTTCGAGAGGAGCTTGATAGGTTAGGTGCACACAATGTAAGTTAAGAAGTCCTTCAAAAGTGAAGCTCTATTTCATGCACATTTTACAGTTGGTATATCTTATACTTTGTAACGTCCTCAAAGATATACAACGAACTCACCGCATAAGCGGAAATATAATTAAATTAACATACCTCCATTCATCAGAGTTTAACATCCATAAGGGATAGATATAAGAAAGAACGAAAACTACGTAGATCATCATTTTTCCTAATGGCTTACATTTTTCCAAGTCATTGCTTGGTAACCACAAAAGTGAGCCTTGCTCAACACAATTTAAAACCCTTGGCTATACAAAAATAGATTCAACAAAATAGAAGCTCTTGCTCCCAATCCCTCCAAGCTACTGCCTTGGCAGAGGCATATCACTGGCACTTGAAAATGGTTTTTCCCAAATAGGGTGAGCCAAAACCCAGTAGAAACAGTCTAACACAATATATGAACTTTAACAAAGCTATAAACATGATGCACATAACCAATGCTCAAAGATAAAAACATTTACAACTCTTTTTACAAAACCATAGTATGCCAAGTATTATATCCCAATCAATTTTATATCAATTTGATTTATGTCATTTCATATCTCCTCAATTCATGAGTCATATCCATTGTTATCCAGACAACCTAATTGAGACTATAACTCAGTGGTTTTCTTACCACACAACCATTACACACAAACACTTCAATTTTCCATTTTACGGAAATTTCGTCCGTGGGATCGGCACCCATGTATACGCGCGATTTTTGAGACTTGCACCCAGGACACACAAACTAACTTAATTTAATGGAGTCCATCCCCTTTCCCATTCGAAACATGGAGTACATCTCCTTTCTCCTCTCAAACATCATACATATACAATGTATTAAAACACAGTCATATTCAATGACAACCAATAAGGAATTAGTTTCAATTTCAATTTACCTAATCGTCATGCAACTTCTATAACAATCATAGCTATTCTCCACTAATAGCCCAAAACAGAAATTTCTAAATAGATATACAATCCTCTCAATAGATAAATTATTCAAATTTCCATAGGTGAGAGATAACACGTATCTAACTACACCATTTATATAAATGTCTATCCAATTTCACATTTTTTGTACAATTTCCATTATTTATACAAAATAATTTTTCAAGGCATTTTAGGGAAAAACTCCAATTTTTCCCAATCTCATCCTAAACACCAAAAATCAACCATTTTAACATAACCCAAGGTCATATCCATTCCCATAACTATTTCCAAGATATCCATTTGAAAATCCCTCTTTGAAATTTAAACCCCAAACTCTAGGTTTGTTAAAATTACCTCAAAACCCAACATTTCTCACACATCAAGAAATAACCAGGTTAAAACTCATAGAGAGAGTAGAAAGTCCATACCTCAAGCTTAGATGACCAAAGCAACAATGGAGAAACTTCAAAGACGTCGAAACCAACTTCTACTCGGATCAAAACGGAGCTCTTGAGATGCTCTACCTTTTTAACAAAGGCACACGGGTAGAGAAACTAACGAATCTAGGTGAAAATATAGAGAGAATATAGGTTTTAAAGAGATGGGCTCTAGATCTAGGGTTTTTGAAAAATAGAGAGAGAAGTGAAAAGTGATGTAAAATGACGTCATTATAAACTGATATACGCATAGTCCGCTCGAGTGTGAGAAGTGATGCTCGAGCGCCAGACACATTGTTCTGCTCGAGCACAGAATACACACTTCTAGAAGTTTTGCAGACGAAGGACATCACTCGAGCTCAAGATTGGCCGCTCGAGCGCCCACCTGCTCAAGCGTAGGAAATGCCACTCAAGCCTAGAATACACTCTTCCAATATTTTGCAAAGCAAAAATATTAAGACTTTGCAAAGCCTGCTCGAGCGGAGGAGCAAAAACCCGGGCAACAAAGGTTTGAAAATCAAGCAACCAACCTGTTCAAACACAACAACTACAATCCAATAACCAAAATTTAAGGAAGAATAAGGGGGAAAGACATAAATCAACCATACAAGGCTGTGAACCCCGAGTCCAGAATACACAATGGGTCGGGTCTAAACCAGAAACGTTATATACTTGTTATTGTTTACAGGTTATTTGGGACTCGCATCAGAGTTGCAGAGATGTCCATCTATCTCACCCAGTTGTGTTCTACCATTGTTGCCTAAAGTGTTTGGAAGTAGTTGAACCATATCACCCTAATAGAGTTTTGCGATAGCTTGGTAGAGTGCAGGCAATCCCTAATCCACCACTTGGCCCTACGCGTGCTTTTCAAGGAGCCACAACTCCATGCTGCAATGTTATGTATGCATACTTGGACATCATTTGGGAGGCATGGAACAACCATGTGTTATTTGAGCAGAGGAGGAGTACATCGGTACAGTAGCCTTGGGATTGTGTTCCTGGTTACATGGATTGGTACCAAACTATTACCCATATGTATGTTCAGAACACAGCGCGTCATTCTCAGGTCGACCCGAATATTCATCATTATCAATATCCTAGCCAAGACGCAGAGGTATTATCTTTTTCATTTACATTACAAATTATGTTCGTAAACTGTTCAAACAATGTATATCATGTTATACTTGTTCTCATAATGCAGTGTTTCTCTCATATATATTAGATTACTCATCCTTTTGTTGAGGTAGACTATGAGGGCAGTGTTCAACATCCTGATGCAATTGAACAGTTTCTGCTAGATCAGCACATTGGTGAAGCTACGCCCAACACATCTGCTCAGGGTCGGTCTTCACCCAACTCTTCTACTACACATCGTTTTAGAGCACATTACACTCATCGATCATGTAGTTGAGAGTAGTTCATAATGTTACGTTAGGTATTTTGTGATGGTGTTGGTGGATGTACAATGAGACAAATTATTATTATTATTATCTTCGAATTATGTACCTTTTGGATACTTTGGTGGATTTAGTAGTAGGTATTTATCAGTGGTACTCTTTAATATTATTATTACTCTTTGCATTATGTAGAACGAGACATGTATTTTGTGATGGTGTGGATGGATTCAACAACTAGCTAAATATTATTTTCTCTTTTTCGATACTTATTGGTTAATATTATTACTCTTGAACAATAGTTGCACCTGGTTAATATTATTTTCATTGTGTTTTGTGTTCGTACAATGTAAATAATATGATATCCATTCATACATAAGACAATTATAACTCATTGTTATTCCATCAAAAAATGGCTATTGCAAAATCCAATGGCAAAATGATAGCCATGTCATAACTCTGCGGTGGTATAAATCATAAAAACTAATGTCTTAAATCTTTTAAATATCCTAGAATTGCTCTCTAATACATTAGTTCGTGTCAACTACATCAAATGTCTCTCAAGTAGCTACATTAGGTCCTATGTTGTCTTTGAATTTCTGAATGCGGCTAACATATGCATTCTTCGATTCTAATGCACAAGGGTGGTGGTGAACTCAATGGGACGGACTGGATGACCAGCCTCCAAAAAATATCTACACGAACATCCAATGAGAATATATTTACCAAATACATCAAATTTGCAAATACACAATTATTAAACAACAAGGGCAGGTAAGTTTTGTACGTTATACCTGCAGAAAATGATTTCCATTGACATGGCAATCTCATGACGATTAGCTGGGGTTACTGGTGGTGATCTCAAAGGTAAGAAAGTGAGACACTGTTGCAATGACAAGTGGTTCAAGACTACATTATAAAATGATGCAATCAGATGCCCCATGTCAGGCACAGTCATCCAACGGTCAAAGCCGAGGTTATCTTCAAAATATGCCAGGATATGTGTTAGCTCCTCAACCCTCTCGTGTGACCCGTATAGTATGACGCATTCATCTCTGTAACCATTCAATTCATGTAACAGATCATGCCTAACTTGCACCCAGCCATTCTCTCCAAGACCAAGCAAACTTGTAATAGTTTTAAAACCACAATTCCCATCACCATCTATATCCTTCATCAACTTTATGAATAATTTTAACATAAGTGGGAAGTCATGAGAATATGCACTTGGTAAACTTGTTCTAGTACAATATGTCTTTGTCTTCACATTCTGCTTCTTCTCATGCACTTTCAAAGCTCTTCTTTTCTTTGATTGACTAGAAGCTAATGTGCTCTGGCTATCATGGTCATCATCAACCAACTCAAATGCACACGGGCTAGGACAGCAAGATATATCAACTTTCTTATGTCATCAACATGGATTAGGCTTCACATCAGGCTCAATAAAGAAAGTGCTCGCTAGGTTTGCAATTTCCCTCAACGTCTTCAACATATCTAATTACATGGCCATATCAGACTCATTGAACCGCTTCAAAATCATCTCAAGTTCTGGAATAGAAGTCTGTAACACCCCGCCAAAATCATTTACAAGAACCCATTAACATACACTCTTCACATAAGCACAACATAATTCCACTAATATAATTTTGTTTCTCATTGAACGACAGATTTGGTTTATAAAAAAAATTACAAAATATTTATCCCTGTTCAATGAGCTAGAAAAGGTTACAAAACAATTACATTGATCCCCTATTAGTATTAATTGCATTGGAACCTACACAAAATAAACTTTACAAGTCTCAAGCCAAAATAAACGAAAGGGTTCCATGATTTCACTACAATTTTCAATTCACAAAAGATAAGTAAATAAAAGGGCTTTTTCTTCTCCTTCTTCATTGGTGATTTAGGGTTTCTTTGTTTCCTCAAAAGTTAGTAAATATGAATAAGCACTTTTGCCCAGTAGAGAAAAAATTTAACCAAGTATATAAACATTTGATGTAAATGTGTATAAATCAATTATAAAACCCAAGGATTCATTTGTACACTAAAAAAAAAAAAAAAAGGGTTTTACGGCCCCAAATGCATGCCGTAGATATGATTCTACAACGTGCAAGGTAACATCATATTATGACCAGTCATGGAAAGTCATTCACTTTCAACGGCATGCTGTAGTATGCCGTAAAAAATATTTAACAGCAAATCTTGTGCGTCATGTTTGGCTTTTCTACAACTACTTTTCCATGCCGTTAATTAAAAGGACAAACCAAGACGTTCATTGCTAGTCATTGAATATTTAATACAATGACCTATTTTGTCTACCGTAGATAGACCAAGTTTCACAGCATTTTTTGCATGCTGTAGAATATGTATATTTAAAAAATAATGATAATAACAGGTTTTATTTCATCTGTACAATATAAGAAAACATTGCTTTACAAACATATATATAAATATCAATCAACCACCAAAATATTGTTTCAAACATCCGAAAAAAATTAAAAAATAAATAAAAATAAAAATAATAAAAAAAACTATCAATAACTTTTGAACATCCAAAAACTATCTATTCATTCCAAACCATCCAAAACTATGTTTCTAGACAACAAAAACTATCCTTAAGTTCAAAACCGTCCAAAACGTTCAAAATGATCCCAAAAAAAATAATTAATTTCTAAAGCATCCAAAAACTATCCTTAAATTCAAAACCACTGCCGAGAGGCCCTTTGTCATGTTATGGGCCATGTCGAAACATCATCCCCTCAAGGGGCAGCCAAAGGAACAAGGAAAAGGCTTAACTCAACACCCACTTTAGAAAACCTGGCAGCTTGACTTGGAAGTCTCACAATCTATGAGAATGAGTACAAGAAACAGAAATAGAAACACCACATTTATAAAGTGTTGTAATCAGAAACTATAGAAATACAAATGATAGGACTATGTCGGTGAAGATCAGTATCAAACCAAAAAGCTAATCCTGCAACAGAGGGGGATTACAAAACAAGAAAGCTAACAAATGAGAGGGTTTTACTTTCTTTGTCTAAATGAGAGGATCAAAATATATTCGTAGCATCACTAGTAGTCCAATCATAGCTCAAATATTTGAAACAAGAAAACTAAGTACTAACTATAACTTTATATTCTACATGATGTGTTGATTGGTTATTCATTAAAATAGGTCCAATTTGAAAACGACTAAACCGATTAAACTACACAACACCAAATAGCCAAAATGCACAACAGTTTGGTGTGGTTTATAATAACGAATAGCTAGTTTCAATTCTTTGCTAATTGTTAGTAATGAGAAGAAGTTATGGTCAGGGTGGGGCAGTTTCTAAATTTGATTCCCAATTTTCTACTACATCCTGTGACCATGGCCCGATCCTAACTGGTACATTTTTTATAGTACCACCCATGGTACCTAAGGGGGATTGGGTTTCCCTACCTTGCCAATCAAAGCCTTGATTCTGATTTTGATTTTTCTAAAACAAATTCAACATCATTCATACAAATTTCATGTTGATAAGAAACGTCAATGAATCAAAACTACAAAAATTAAAATAAGAACCCTTACCTAATTAGAAATAATCCTAATCCAAAAACAAACCATGACACATCCCCTATAACAATACCCACAACTTCAAATCAATACACAACAAATATAACAATAGCCACAACAAGCACACAACAGATAACAAATAAGGAGTTTCTTATCTTAAAAAAAACAATCAAATTACATGCTAACAAACAAATCAAATAAAAATGCAAATCTATAGAAGGCAAAAAAAAAAAAAAACTTGAGAAAAAAGAAAAAGAACCTAAGGTGAAGGAATCAATGACAGTTGTGAAGGAAGAGTTGAAGCGAACAGAGGTTCTTCGTCTCAGTGTGGGTTGCCACTGCTGTAAACCAATGAACTAGTCGATCAACAAAAATAGACCTGCAGTAATGCCTCCAGGTTGTTTTCAAAACCTGAAAGTTTGATAAAATCATGGCGAGTAGATGTAATATTCTTATGCAATGTTGAAGTGTGCAGATGTATAATTCCTCGAAACTCTTCATCAGTCAGCTTTTGTACTGCGTGCAAAACATCACAAAAGTTAATTGTCCAACATCTATGAAAACCAAAACCTATATAGAAGCAAATCACTAGATGATAATCATTAAAAGCTGTTGACCACCAAAATAAATTTTATTTTATGTGGAAAACATATTTAAAAGGCACCAAGTAGGTGCAATCCGTATTCAAAAGAAAATCTAAGACAACTATACATCAAAAACTTATTCAAAAGTCCTTACAAAATATAGACGAACAATAACTCTATATTTTAGTGTGTAATTGCAATTAAATTGAGAGAGAGAGAGACAGAGAGATTTGATAAAGTCTAGTTGGA